ACCGAGGTGCTTGCGCTCGTGTGTAAGATGTACCAAACTATAGTTGGTAAATTTCTCCGGGTACGCTATGTGATGGGAGATGCTGACGCAGCCCAATGGAACGCGGTGAACGACGTGTTTGGGCAAGGGGAGGAATTTGTATTTCTGATGTGCTACTTTCATGTGGCAAAGAAGGTATACGAGAAAACTCGCTCGTTGGGGTCTGTTGCGGCCTCCTCTGTCATGAAATACATTCATGAGCTCCATTTCTCGACGAATGAGGCGGCCTACAACTCGAAGCTAGGAGAAGCTCAAGCGAGATGGTCAAAAACTCCGGAACTGGCGAAATTTTCTTCCTATTTCTCAAAGGTCTGGCTGAACGAGAGGGTGTGGCGTTGGCAATGTTTCCATACACCGAGTGGTTTTGCGACAACGAACAATCCATGCGAGACGTACAATGCAGCGATTAAGAGAGATGTCACGCTCCGCAGAAAGCTGAAGGTCGGCGCCCTACTGCCCCAGCTACTTACTCTTTGCCGAAGTGAAGCTGTCACCGCAAGACCATTTGCCGTGTCCCCGGAGCCAGATTCTCGGTTGGTTCGTCGAGCTCGGGCGATGTCGCGGGCGGGCTTGCTTGAGCTACACCACCATTCTCGGAACAGTATCGCATTTTTGCTAGCTACCACGACTGAGGCCGAGCCTTTGGATACAGTCCGTGTTATTAGCAAGCCGTGCCCGCGTGTACAGGATGAGATTCGCCGACGCAACGTTGAGGACTTACCCGTTACAGCCCGGCTGAGCAAACTGACTGCTGCAATGGAAACGCTTGGTATGCCTTTGAAGGGGTGGCTGATTGACATGAATTCGGGTAAGTGCCCTTGTCCCTTTTCGATGAAGCACGGCTATTGTGTGCACACACTCTACGCGATGGAATGCTGTGGAACTATGGATCTCACTGGACGTCAGACACTTGTCAATTGAGGAATATCCGGTCGCAAAAAGGGACAGAGCTCCCGCGGGCGCCCACGCAATAGTGGTGCGGCACTAGAGATGGAGTAGGATCTAGATTGAAGGAGATTTTAAATGTCTAACGTCTTTGCTTCATAAATCTCGACGGTGCTCAAGTCAGTTTACGTATGCTTATATCATGTCATACTTGTATTCACTTAATTTCCTCCATTATTGAGTTCGTTCAGAAATTTCCTTTTGCGTTGCTCTTAAATGCCATGTCTCGCAGAAATTCCGGGGTGCTACCGGCTCACGATATTTAGTCATTGCAGCGATACGAGCTCCCGTGTTCTCTCAATAATCTTTAATGGTTTAGCTTAGTCAGGGATGTGGAATAACTTACCAATTGTCACTACCGCGTCTTTATTACGTAAGACTGGTCATCACGTGAGCCCACCTCAGCTTTCACCTACTTCTATATGCAGCGGAGTCGTGGATGTTTTGACGGGGCTGCCACGTCAAGAAATTAAGACATTGAAGTTGCATACTTTACCACTTCAACGAGTTCCCAACAATAAAAAACGAAAAGATCACACCTAAATTTAGATTATCTAGTACGTTCTTACTGTTGCTCCACCGAATCGCTCGTGTCAGCGTTTGTCCTCTTCGCTGCTCGCATTTTCTTCATTTTGTCCAGTGTGATGCTCTTCTTCGTGCGCCTTTTCAATGACCGAGTAGTCGCTGCATTGCGCGCGTAATTCGTCGCAGCTGGCGTAGGAAGTTGGGAAAGAAAATGGGCGCGCTCACGCTCGAAGTATATCTGTCGCGCCTTCTCGTCCTTACACCCTTTCATTTATCATTCTCTTTTCTCCATGGCGCAATACGCTGACAACGTCGACTCCCATGCTTTCAGTGAGCCACGCCGAGCGCCCGAGGTAACGCGAGTAGCGTAGCGAAAAGATGCCAATCTGTCCTTAGCGCTGATAATCACGTTGCCAGAAATGGCCCCCCACCTTAGGTGATCCGGCGTACCGGGGATAAATCCAAGTAGAGCAGAATGATATACCAGCATGTTCAAATAAACCACATCACCCGGGCGCTGCACTAGTACGCACGATTTGGTTGTGTCGATCATGCGATTGAAAGTGTCGTTTCCGTTTTCAAAACTAAACAATTCTGCACACTTAGGCGTTCTGAAGAACACCCAAATCTTGAAGGTGTGCGTGAGGCTTGGAGGTATATACGACACTACACGACCATGGTCTGCGTGAATCGGCGAGATTCGATTCCCGCTTTGAAGCCATGACTCCACAGGGTACACGTAGGCCTCATCGGCAGGAAATACCAGCTTAGAGTAGTATCCAGGAAGATTGACTATGAGTTGATCGCAAGGGGTTGGAATCTTCTTTTCCCATAGGCTCTCAACACGACGCTGAACATAGGCACGCATATCCATCACGCGCAGTAAGTCATTGAAGTGGGTAGGCGCTTCGGGAAGTCGTTCCTGTTTGCGAAAGCGTGCCACATCGTTACAGGCTCCTCGAAAGACTAACGCAGGCGCCTCGCTGCTAACCGCGTCGCTCCATGAGAACCCACCGTCAACGTAGCGGTCAGCGGAAGCAGAAATCTTGGCTACAATGCGCGGAATCATAACTCTGCTGTTTCCATAATCTCCACATTTCGCAAGATCGCACAACTCGTTGATAAAATCCACCATTTTATTACCAGAACACCGCACACTATCGTAGCCTAGAAGATCGTGGACTAGGGGTCAAGAAATCGCCAGCTCCGGGCGTGTCGGTGCTCGCTCTGCGGTCTCGGACGTCCTCTTGAGGCCTTCTGGAACCGCGCGAGTAGCTGGCGCTTGGACGGTCTTGTTGTGAGAATAGAATTTGGGACAGAGCATAGTACAGTCGTCTACACAGCACATTATACATTATTTTGTCTCATACGGTAGGTCTATGTGTGTGGCTGAAAAGCAGCGGGAGTTGATGGGAAGAATACGGTTCATGTTTTGCACCGGTGCTCCTGCTGATTATGAGGTGCTGACCAAAAAAAATGCTGGTGTTTCTGGTATTTCCTCCCATTAGACCAGACGTCGAACGGCATTTGTTTTGCTGTTCGCGCCTGATTGCTTCAGCATGGTAACGCTGTATCATCAGCTCAAACGTCGCACACGATTCAAGCACACCAACGAACCCATTTCACGCAGATCCAAGACTCGCCATAAAGCTCTGACGCTTTTTTTCGTCAGAAATCAGTACATGCTGCTTCTGCTGCTCATCCAGAACACGTCTTGTGTTCTGAATGTGCTCGACCATCTACCCGCCTCCATCTAGGCCCAGCACTAACACTGCATTGACATTGTAAGCCATGCGCAAGTGCCGCTGCTAGCGACTGGTCAAGTAGGTAAACCCCAGAAGCCAATTTCTCACTCAGTGCTGCGAGAATGATGGTCGAAGCCATCTTCTTCATCCAGCAGTCGTGCAACAAAGTTGTTGATACCGCAGCAAATATCGTCCCGGCAGTGATGGCGTCCCCGACGCCGATGCCATTACCAGCTCCTGCTGCCTCTGCAGCTTCCCGCTCGAGCATGAGAACTTGGATGGTGGGTATGGGCAACTGAATTGCATCCCATAGCCCCTTGATCTCAAAGAGCAGCTTCACCTGGGCACCCCACGCTGGGAGCCCGGTTCCGCTGAGCTGCTTCAGCTTTGTCGCAAAAGTCGAAGCCTTCGTCGTAGACTTCATAACCTGCTGGAAAGGTGTTGTAGAGAAAGCTGGCACCGAAGAGAGCGGAGTGGAGTAGGTGAAGTGTTGCCCAGAAGAAAGTTGGAAAGTGATCGATGTAGGGCTTAGCTAAAAACTAAAAACAGAAACTAGCTGCACGCTCTTACATGTATCCAAGACGAATAGCCTTGGTGCCCCTACTCTTCTTTGCCCGTTGATGACTTGAGGCTGATGTCTGAATAGTGTGATCTTCAACATCCTGTGTCGGCTGAACGTTTGTCGGTTTGTGATGTCTTAGTCGTCACTGTGGCCAGCTCTGTGTTCGTCACTGGTTTTTGCGAATCTAACACGCCTTGCCTACCCCCCCCCCTCCTTTCGAGTGCAGCGCAGCAAGTGAAGAGAGGGGTGGGCCCGCAGCTATAAGTCTGGAGACGGAGTGCAAACGCGCCAGCTCCCTTTACTCCAATTTAACCGCGTACACGTAAAGAAGTCGATGCTATGCTACCTCAGCCTGCCAAAATGATGAATGCCTTCTGGTATTTAACTCGCTTACAAGAGCAAATGTGTTTTTATGAAAAATGGCGTCTGAGAATCTTCTTCTTTGCAGTTAAAACACTCACTGAAAATTAAGAGCATTTGCAACATTTCAGCCCCATATATTAGGAGTGCTATTTAACAAAACGTTTTTCAATATTAATTGTTAAAATAGCTGTTCAACATTCGAAAAAAAAACGAAACGCTCCATAGTAAATTTTTTTCTTGACATGGTAAATACGCTCCTTTCAGGAAGACCAGTCGAACAATTTATTCATTGGAAAGACGAGGAGGTTGGAATTGCACTGCTGTTGTGGAGCGTCTGGCGGCGCCTGTGCGGGACCACTGAAACACTTGCACGTCACTTTTTAGTAATGAAGGCGTTTTTATCGGGTTACAATCAAACTTGGGGCCATGCGTAGTCGCTGTGAAAAGGCGCAAGGTGAAATTAGCAGTGCGAAGTGATACTGTAATAGAGTTTGTACACGCTGGCGTCCTGAACTTTCCGCACGACCGCAATTTTTCATACGTCCGTTCGTGAAGCCACTATACACACAGGCTGTTTTGTGCAAGAGAATTGATCACAAACAATACTCCCCCCGAAATCAGCAACTGCTGCTTTACAAATCCCAAGTCATGAGAGCCTTTTCTGGCAACCGCAACACAAAAAAATCAGGTATTATAACACAAGCAAGATTTTTTACACCCACACAAACCACGATGGACTTCATTTCGGGTTTCGCCTTGAGAGTGAGATATCCTCGTTTTGCACAAAGAGGGCAAACCTTCGTCGATCGAACAGGTTTAAGATGTGGCGTCGCTTCGGTGTGTTGTGCTTTCTCGTGGGAGCTCCTCTGAGCTCGGCCTCCAGTGCTGCCCACCTCACCATGATGGTGTCTAAGGAGTCCACCGATTCGGCTACCACCACCGCCTCCTCCGGCTCCTCGACGACCGCTGGAACGGTAACAGCTGCCGACACTGAGGGATCTTCGTCCTCCACTGGTACCGTTGGCAGCACGACGACAAACTCGTCGTCTAGCAGCGGTGGTTGGCACATGACAACCGTCACCTCGGTGCAAGCTCGTGTGCAGGGTGACGCCCCTGTTTGGAACGAGGAAGCGCAGCTGTGGTTGTCTAAGTACGGCGATACCACGGAGGCTGCCTACATGAACAATCTGGACACGGTCAACACTGCGTCAGTCGAGGGAGCGCTAATGTTCGTGCAGGCCGAGGGTATCAACGTCAATGAGCAGTCGGTCAAGTGCCAGCGCAAGAACAACATGCAGTATGTGGTCTTTTACGAGATCACGATCGTGCAGCCGACGTACGGTATCAAATACTACGAGAGCCACACGCCTCCGGAGTATGGCGAGTTCGTGGCCATGGACGGCGCCAAGTGCACGGACGAGGGCAGTGATCTGTCAGAGGACTGCAAGGTTTACTATGGTCTAGATGGGGAAATGGACATTGGTCCGATGGTGGGCAGTAACCTGCAGACGTCGGACCCGCGTGCTCCGTACCCTGGCAACTACTGGTTCTCGTACCCGAACTCGTGCGCACAAGAGCTGCGTGAAGACAAGACGGACGAGTGCCGTGCCGAGTACCCGGGTGGTCTCTGCGCTGTGGGCGTTAAGCCTGACGGTGACAACTGCACCTTCAGCTACAAGATCTTGGGCTACCTGAACATTGATGACCTGGTCGGTATTACCGAGTTGGGCTACAGTAACTACACGGAGTTTTGCGAGGACGGCGGTGTGGAATTCAAGGCTTCAAACACCGGCAGTGGCTTCGAAGTTGAAGAGAGCATTGACTTCTGGCTGAACCCTGGCGACGAGGATGCCAACTCGAATCGTACGTCCATCATGGTGGAGATGTACAACGAGCTCGCCAGCAACGGCACTAGTGCCAACATGGAGGCCCTTCCGACAATCGAGAAACTAACCTCGGCAAACCCAAAGTGCTACGAGAATAGTGAGGCCTGTGCTACCTCCCAGCACGGCTGCAACCGTACGCTTTACTCTCAGATCTGCACTGTGTGCTCGTCTGATGCTGATGGATGTGAGGCCGCTCCGTCTTCATTCTCTTTCCCGAAGCTTACGCTGCCGTCGAACAGCTCATCGGACGGCTCGTCGGACTCGGACTCGACGACTACCGGCTCGTCGGGCAGCCCCGTGACGGCTTCGTTTGCGTCGGTGCTCGTGGGTGTTGTTGCTGTCGTCGCCAGCAGCCTGCTTTAAGGTTAACGTCGACTGCCCTGTATGACATGATGGAGAACTCATGAAGCCTACTGCTGTCTAAGCGAATACTGTAACCAGTACCGAGTAAACCAGATCAACACGTAGAGGGCTCTCATCTGTATAGCCCACCGCTTGTGTGCGTGTATTTTTTCTTCTAGAAAACTGCCGATCTAAGCAGTCACACTGAATCAGTGTTTGCATCACATACTGTACACTACGTGGTATTATTTGGTATACTACTTGTATTAACTTGCTCTTTCGTTTTTTTCTTTCTTCCTAACGCATTTTAAACGTTTTTCAGCTTACTTGAAGTAGCCGAATACTGCACTCTGGAACTTAGGTCCAGGACAGGCACCTTCATGCTGTCACAAGTGAGAAAAGAACAAGGCGTCAGCTACACTCCAAATATATCCCTGTAGATTGTGTAGTGTCTCGTACTTGTAGTGCCATCAATACATGTATTAATTGTAGTCACGAGTCCTACTGCGGCATAGAGATTCTCTATGTCTATTAGAGAAACCGTGAGTGTGTTGAACGAGGAAACTTTGCACGACAGGCGTGTTTGCTACCGCAGCCATAATATGAGCGACCGTGAGTATGTTGAACGAGGAAATTTGGACGACAGGCGTGTTTGCTACCGTATTAATAGCCATAATATGAGCGCTTCCGTGCATATAAAAAACAGACATGGTGACATGCTGACTTGTTCGACTGAGGAAAGCTTAGCACTATCCATGCGCGCACAACAACGCGCGCGAGTGATCGACGTCCCGCCTCAAAGCATCGACCACTTCGATGGCACAACAAGCACCACCGCTGAAACAGCGATTAAAACGCTGCTTTCGAAGAAAAATCCTAGTGGCACTATTTTTCCAGTACATTGTTCTTCATCTCTATAATCTTTTCCTCCGACAATCGGAGCATCTGTGAATCAGATGGCAAAAATAAAACCCGCACTTAATTTATGCAGCAAATCTTATGCAAGTGGACCTCAAGCAATTGCCACTCTCCATTCCGCTTTGTCCCCGTTAAGACATCGGTCTACTGTACATTGTCCAAGATGTGGCGTCGCTTCGGTCTGTTGTGCTTCCTCCTGGGCGCGCCCCTGAGTACTGCTGCCAGTGCCGCGCGCCTGCAAATGATGGTTTCCAAGGAGACGAATTCGGGATCGGGGGCCAATCAAGCCACCATTACGGCTGCGTCCACCGCCTCCTCTGACGCCAACGGTGGCTGGCACATGAAGCCCGTCACCTCGATCCAGGCCCGTGTGCAGGGTGACGCCCCCGTCTGGAGCGAGGAGGCGCAGATGTGGTTATCGAAGTTCGGTGATACCACGGAGGCTGCCTACGTGAACAATCTGGACACGGTCAACACTGCGTCAGTCGAGGGAGCGCTGATGTTCGTGCAGGCCGAAGGTATCAACGTCAATGAGCAGTCGGTCAAGTGCCAGCGCAAGAACAACATGCAGTATGTGGTCTTTTACGAGATCACGATCGTGCAGCCGACGTACGGTATCAAATACTACGAGAGCCACACGCCTCCGGAGTATGGCGAGTTCGTGGCCATGGACGGCGCCAAGTGCACGGACGAGGGCAGCGATCTTCCGGAGGCCTGCAAGGTTTACTATGGTCTGGATGGGGAGATGGACATTGGTCCGATGGTGGGCAGCAACCTGCAGACGTCGGACCCGCGTGCTCCGTACCCTGGCAACTACTGGTTCTCATTCCCGAACTCGTGCGCTCAGGAGCTGCGTGCCGATAAGACGGACGAGTGCCGTGCCGAGTACCCGGGCGGGCTTTGTCCTATGGGCGTCCAGCCTGACGGTGACAGCTGTACGTTCAGCTACAAGATCTTGGGCTACCTGAACATTGACGACCTGGTCGGAATCACGGAGATGGGCTACAGCACCTACAAGGAGTTCTGCGAGGACGGCGGTGTGGAATTCAAGGCTTCAAACACTGGCAGTGGCTTCGAGGTGGACGAATCGATCGACTTCTGGAAGAAACCTGGAGATGAAGAGGCTAACGCAAAACGTACCAAGAAAATGGTGGAAATGTACAACGAGCTGGCCAGCAATGGCACTAGTGCCAACATGTCGCCTCTTCCTTCTATTGACACCCTGACGTCTGCCAACCCCAAGTGCGAAGAGAATAGCCCCAAGTGCGCAAGTGCTTCGAACGGCTGTGCGCGCTCTCTGTACTCTCAGATTTGCATGGTCTGTTCGTCGAGCGACAACTGCGAGGTCGCCTCCTCGGCGTTCCCCGACCTGACGCTTCCTTCCAACTCGTCCTCTTCCTCGTCGGAGGACGGCTCCTCAGACAGCTCAACTGATGCCGGCGACTCGAGTACTGACTCGAAAACGGGCAGCGCCAATGCGCTGTCGGACGACAGCAACAGCAAGACGAGCAGCAGCCGCAGCAGCAGCAGCAGCAGCAGCAGTGCCGCCTCCACAACGAAGGTGTCGGCTGTTGCGGCTTTTGCGGCTCTTGTCGTCAGCAGTCTGCTGTAAGGTTACATGTACGCTAAACATCTCCGTGTCCATAGCGAAGCGCAAAACCAGGGTTTTATCCAATACAACTGACACATGAGCAAGTATTATTAAATTATTTTTATTAATATTGTGTTTTGCAGATATTTTTACCTCTTTTTTTGAGCGATATACATGTAACAAGAACTATTGTCAATTCCGTTCAAATTTGCCGAAGGTGTGCGTGGCGGCCATCGGGCGATAAGGCAACAAGAAGCTATGATTGGTCCACAATAAGAAAACAACGCTGATTATTGGCCTAAATATATCCAATAAGGCGCTGGCTGCATGTTGAAGTGCTGCGTTCACAGCGTAGTGTGCGAACACCATGGAGGAAGCTGCTACACGGCAGCACGCCCACGCCAACACTGTGTACCATTGTCTCTATGCTTACTACAAGCTTGATTATTCCAAAAAGCATCTTGCGCACATCTTCAACAAGTCAGAGCGCACAATCCGTAACTGGATTAAGGTGTACGAAACTACGGGGGTATTTCAGCGAGTGAACACAGTCACGAGGAGACAATACACACAACAGCAGCGTCAATGGCTGTTTAGTTACTACCAGGAACATCCTCTTGCGTATCTCGACGAAGCCCAAGATGCTTTCAAGAGGACTCATTCTGTTGACATCTCAAAAACATCAGTCTGGAGAATAATACACGCGAATGGCCTCACCTGGAAGGTGTTGGAGCGACGCGCGATGCACATCAAGGAACGTGACGTGTTTCGCTTCGTGGAGGAGCTAAGCCACGTAGACTGAAGCCACCAAAACATTGTTTTCCTGGACGAGGTCAGCTTCGATAACAGAGGCATGATACGCAAGCGAGGTTACGCTATTCGTGGGAAGAAGGTTGCTATTCGCGGTGACTTTGAGCGAAAGCCACGGGTCTCAATCCTGGCATTTATTGGTGTTAATGGGGTTCTAGACTACTTCAGCACGGAGGGCACATTTGACCGAGTGTAGTTCACAAAATGCTGTCAAGATTTCGTACATTGCCCAAGTGGACCGGTTCGTCAATACCCTGCTCAAAACTCAGTCTGGATCTTGGATGGCGCTACTATTCACAGGCACCCAGAGGTTGTGCACTACCTTCGCAGTGTTGGTGTTGTGCCCATTTTCCTTCCGGCTTATTGCCCTTATTTCAATCCGATAGAGTTCCTGTTTGGCTACGTGAAGCGCTAATTCCAGCGACACTACCTCGAAACTAGTGGGCGTGATCTTATGCCTTTTGTCGTCCAGACATTTCGCCGGTTCCGACGATACAATCTCAGCAAGGTATTTCAGCAATGTGGATGGAATATTCAAGGTTACTTTGATCCTGTTGGGCCTCTTTCGATTGAAAAGCGAACGCAACCAGAACTCAACACAATGACGACCAGAAATGATGACTTGGAGTTTACTGCGCTTGACGAGGAATCGTAAACTTAACTAGTCAAAGTACGATACGTTTTAGCTGTCACACTTGAGAGATAATGGAAAACTTGCTTGACTATGGTAATTCTTACTCGGCGTGCTCTGTGTCTTCGATGTTCTCAATCAGGGGCATCGGGTCGATGATCGTGCTTGGAGACGGAGGCACGAGATTGCGAATAATGCCTTCAATGATAGCTTCACGTGCTACCAATCGCTGTTCTTGATCGTCAAGGTAACGTCCAGCAGATTCAAGGTAGCGACGGAGCTGCTGACAGTCGCCGATAGAGGCTCTCACACAGTCTAGAGCCACACTGGAAGATTGCGCAACTCCATTTAAATGCTCCTCAAAGCGTGACTCCGCTGGATCGAGAAGGTTTGTAAGGTAGCTTGGCGGTGGGTTGGCAATATTAGCATTCCAAGTCGAGCGATTTAGATTTCGTGTCTCGTGGTTCGCCCACATACGCCAGACAACCGACGATGCCTGAAAAGTATTTCCCCACTTCTGTCGAAGCGCCTCAACCACTTCTCGCAGGAAACTTTCTGCTGTTGCACCTGCACGATCCGTCTCCTCTGGTGGGACGCACGCCTTCATAAAGTCATCTCGGTCTTTAGCAGTTGCAATGGCCATACCGTACTCGTAGACCATGAGAGTCACAGTAGTTCCTTTATTTGCAACGAGCCATTGGTTCCATACTTGTGCTGACTTTGTAGAGTCGACAATGCGTTTTTTTACCTTGAACTGCAGCAACTTTGCCCACTCCGAGAATTGAGGATTCTCCACGCTCTAGATACCATCGGTCTTGACGGCTTGCTTCTTTATGTTAGGAGAAAACGTCTCCCAAACAGCCTCCATAATGCTGTCAAAAGAACGTCCAGTAAACACTTCATCACGTTGTACCTCGCCGGCCGTGTCCCGCTGGTTAATTGATGTCTTTATAATGGGCCGAAGAAGTAGTTGGAAAAGACCACCAGGAGCTTCATTAGCCGCTTCATGAACTGATACAATTTCTACTGCCTCCATGGGTCTGACCGCAGCCGCAGCATCGCGTTCAGGAGCGGATAGAGTCGCACTGGCTTCAACATGACCGACAGAAGCAATCTCTGGAGCAGCAAGTGTCGCGCATAAACCAGTAGAAGCTGTATCAATGCGCTCTGAAGTTGATGTATTCTCCAACGTTCCACGAGAAGCAGCAGCAACAAACTCGGAGGGAGACACATCGGTCCTGAACTCAGCAGGAGCGAGTGTTGAGGCAGGTAGAGTTGTCCGGGTGCCCGCTCGACGCGCTGGAGGACGCCCTTCTTCGCTTGGTGAGCGATCCAGATGACAGAGAGAGGATCCGTCTCGTGGTGAGTGGCTGGACACAATGTACGGCGATGTGCGTGCATGGCCACGCCGGAGCGGGGATCGTAGTGGTGTCGACGCCATGCTTCAGTGCGGGCCCTCGAGTGAGAGTGATTGTTGGTGCAACCAAAGGTTCATTCTATAATCCAGGTTTACACGATTTGTCGGGCGTGTGGCCGGGGGGTGTCTCTTACACGCGCGCGGAAATTTCGAAAAGAACGCACAATACATGTAAACCGTTTTCTACTTAATTTAATTACTTCTACAACACTCCACTATTGTAGTAGTAGTACTACGTAGTATTAGACTAAATCAAATCTAGTAGTAATTCCTCTTTGATTTTACTTGTTGGACCCGTGCCGTTAACGCCGTCGATTTTTACCATGGGTGAAATCGTGGCCCCTCTGTAGGTCGCAGCATCCCAACAAAGAACGGCAAACCGAGTCGGTAATTTTCGCGCGAAATGCTTATCGATTAAGACCTGTACTGTCTAATCACCTGTTATATTCTCATATCAGTTCATCTCTCTTTTGATTGATTTTCAAGACATTTTGAATTTACGTTTTGCCATCTTGAACAATGAATTTGATATTTTGAAGGCTAAAAGGTGATTTTAGGCTCAGAGTTATCACCATGTGCGACAAATTTCGACACACTTGGCGTGATCGGCGTTGGCCCAGCCGAGCTGTCTCCTGGAATTGATCATTATAGCTGATAAAAGGTAGTTAGTGCGCTGAACGCATTCCTCAGCTCGAACGTTGACTAAAACAACAAATGCATAGATGATGTGGCGAGCTCTACGTGCTCTTCACGACCAAGGAATGAAATATCGTAGCACGTCCGTGGAAGGACAAGGTAATAGTGCCACTCTTGTTGCCAAGCGACGCCAGGGATTGACAGTAAATCGACGGAGTAGTACATGTGTAGATTGTATCAGAACAATATAAGTACTTTTACTGTTGCAAATATTACTTGTCCTATTTTTCATTTTCACCTTCACAATAAGAAACATGAAAGCCACATGCTGCGACATAGTACTATAAATACTACCGATATCTTGGAAAACGTTCTAGCACTTCAGCGATACCATCTCCAAACATAGCACACAATAGAATCACTGCTGTTGATCAGCGCGTTTGCCACTACAAGAACGAAGCGGGAATAATGTTTGAGCACGTCAAGTGCTTCGACTGGCGCGCAATTAACGTGCAGGCGATTTCTCATCACGTAAGATATAATGTTCTAGTGGCCAGCTGCTTTGTGCACGAGTTCCTACAAGTAGGGTGTATGGGTATTATCCATCCATGACAGCTACCAACAACACCATCTGCAACTTGTTGAGCTCTCGACAAGCTCTGTGGTTAGCTTTTGATTTATTTCATTTAGTTTACTCATTCCTCATTTTGCTTAATACACCTCAAGTTCTCCGATAACTCCGGGTCCAATATTATAAGTGGTAGCACTGGTTCAACCAGTGCTACCACTTATAAGCAACCAGTGGTTGGTCCACCACAACCTCGTCGTGTCTCGTCGAATCGTCTGATCATGGAAGAACAAAATCCGGTCATAAGTCTCCTGGAGGGCCTTACTCAGGCTATCCATGAGCTCTCTCATACCGTCGCTACTCAAAACAACGAATTTCGCTCGTCTGTGGTAGAGCAACTTCAACACCAGCAATCGAGTCGAGAATCTCGCGTCAAAGGCGCATCCATGCCGACATTCCACGGCAAACCACACGAAAGTGTGGACTAATTTCTTTTCGAAGCCAAGGTATTCATGAACGGCAAAAACGTTGACTACAGACACCCCGGTAGCCAGGCTCGTGTGGTGTCCATGCTGGCCCGTAATCTCCGGGGAGGAGCGGCTTCTTCGTACCATAGGCGTATCATGATCGACAATGAGCCAATCAGTTCAATTGACGAGTTTGAGGTGGCACTTCGTGAAGAATTTATTTCCCCCGATCAGCAAGCACCGCTTACGAGCTGTCCTACGAGCCTGTAAGCAGACGACTGATGTGGAAAAGTACGTGTCGCACGTTCGGAAAATTATTCCTCAAGTCCGTAATATGTCTGCCCTAGACAAGGTAGACCACTTCAGTACCGGAACCGATGGACATTTCCTACTAGACCGACCTTGGAGCAGTGTCGCCGCCAAGGTTTGTGTTTTCACTGCCGTAAACCTGATCATCGCATTGCTGAATGTCCAAAAAAGTGTCAGGGAAACGACGGCGCTCAACGGATGTAGACGGAGTGTCCGTTGAGCCATGCGAATTAGAATCTCCAAGCGTAAGTGCTGAAGGCGAAGCTCCAGTGACTACGGTGGCTCCAGTGGTGTCCGATATGGAGAGGTTACCTGTTGAGCGAAGTGTGATTGATACATGCGTTAGTGCAATGGAGTTCTGCTGGATAATGTTAAAGTAGAAGGAAACAATCTACTATTTTGTGGATGCACTCGTGCAGGGCCAGCGGCTTAAAATGCTGATCGACTCTGGAGCTACACACAGTATTGTGCGTCGTGATCTCTTGGCGGCACCAGCTGGTACTCAATACGAAAACATTCAGGCTCGCGACTTTGAAGGAAGACTGTCTACAACGACCTTAAGAAAAATTTCTGTGGATACGGAGGTGGAGAAACGGTTCTGTCCAGTTGAGCTGGTGGAGTGGCCTTTAAGACAGGACTTTGACGGAATACTTGGGCAAACTGAGCTTCGTCGAGAAAACCCTGATATTGACTGGTCGGCTGATATTCTCTCGTGGCGGTCCGCACCTCGTCGAAGTTTGCCTCGAGAATGGAAACCACCGCCGCTTCCGGAACTGGAGATTGGGTATGTGGATGCCGAGGAATTCCTACGTAACCTAACGGCCGGCATGTATGCGGAGGTATTTCACCTCGATGTTTTGACGGAAGCGTTAGCTAAGAAGCAGGACGTGGAAGTGCAACGACTGGTCAAGGCGTTTGCTGACTATTTACTGGAAGAGCTAGCAGAGGGACTTCCACCTGAACGTGATATCGAACACGCGGCCAAGCTGCGACAGGGTGCGGTGCCCTCTTCACGGCCTTCTTTCGGCATGCCCATGTCGAGAAAGACGCACTTGTGTTATTCGTGGACAAGATCATAAAGAAGAAGTGGATAGAGCGTAGTTCCTCTCTGTGGGTCTCCAACATCTTTGCTGTGCCCAAACGGGATCCAGTGACAGGCGAACTACCCTCAAACGTACAGTGGGTATAATACGAGGTGGAGATCCATAGAAACCTGTGCGCTGGGTTGTTGACTACCGCTACGTGAACTTGGCCTCAGACATTCCTCGCATTCATATTCCCCGGATTGACGAGATCTTTGACCGACTGACGGGAGCGCACTGTTCACATTAATTGATTTAGCATCCGGCTACCACCAAATGAGAATGGCGTTTGCCTCGCGACTGTACACCGCATTTCGAGCAGGTTCAGAGATCTTCCAATGGTGTGTCGCTCCCATGGGCCTGGCAGGCATGTCGGGCACATGGTCGCGTTTGATGCGTCGGATATTCAAAACCAAAGAGCTCTCCGCGTTCGTGGTCGTCTACCTAGACGATATATGTGTCTTCTCGAAGACACGAGCGGAGCACTTGATGCACTTGCGTCGTGTATTTGATGTTTTGAGGAGCTACGCAAGGCCCAGCAAATGTCATTTCGCGCAAGACAAGATTCGGTTCCTTGGACACATCGTTAGTGGAGCAGGCGTTCGCGTCGACCCTGACAAAACGGCAGCTATCGCAGACTGGGAGCGCCCAAAGAATGTGAAGGACTTGCAGCGATTCCTTGGACGGGCTGGCGCTTTGTGCGTAATTACGCTGCCCTCTTGCTTCCCCTCTCCGAGTTGTTGAAGAGCACAAATGGATGGAAGTGGGCCTGTGATCAGGAAAATGCATTCACCGCCATTAAGAAGATGCTCATCTCCGCCCCAATTTTGCGTTTACCCGACATTTCGTTGCTATTTCAAGTGACAACGAATCTCTCAATGACGTGTTTCGGAGGAGGACTCAGTCAACAAGTGATGGCTTTGATCATCCCATCGGTTTCTACCAGGGGTTCGCAAATGGTTATGGACTATTGATGGGGAGGGCCAAATCCCAGATCCATCCATTATGGGCACATAGTCCATAATGGAGATACCCCATAATCCTTGATATGCACTATATACTCAACAGAAAGTGTGGTGGAGAGGCACCATCGACAATCACCAATCGATCACATTTTCAATGCACTGTAATCGGTAGGTCATATGTGATATTGTTACGTTGTTGCCAATGAATGGAAGACACTAAACGCAATTGGAGATAGAGCTTTGCACCTTTCACTTGTGCTTTGAATTGACTACTATGGAATTCGTCCCATTTTCGCGATTCCATACATAATGGCCATACCATTGGTTTTTAGGTACTTCTCTGTCCCACTAATTTATAGGGATTTCGGTTTTTTTAAGGTAGCACTACCAACACGAGCTTGATAAACGTCTTAGTACCCTTATTCGAAAGCTTGAGTCAGCGTGCTATTTGCTATATATTTTGTGGCTTCATAATAGAGACCAGCAAGTAAATAACGCCATGTCGCGAAGTATTCACTAATCGCCGAGAAATTTGCTCCGGTGTCCAGCAGGATCTTGGCCTTCGGTCGTTCACTGCCCCCAATACGAGAGCTCTCATTCTAACCCGGCGATCAAACGTCTGCGCTGACCACCATCCCAGCCGTTCTCCTGAAAGCAGCTTCATGATTCTGGTACGGTGCACAGCCTGGTCTGACTGCCGAGCTACACTTGCAATCGCTCGGTAGTTATCGTCTAGCTCACCGAGCTCACGCTCAATTCCGTCGATTTCACACATTCAATTGCCACCCCCGCTTCGTCCCTCGGGCCGTCCTGCTTCGCCTACGAAGGCAAACAAGAAGTTCGCCCCAACTGCAGGCTCAGCTGACTGTAACAGCCCGGCATATTCCAACCCAGTCCGTGTTGGCCGGCCGCCGAGCTTAAATCACTCGGCGTGTAAAGATTTTGCAGGTCTTCTGGCACGTGTGACTTGTCGACAGAGTTCTTCACGAACGCAGCC